TTTTGATTTAATTCGGAATCCGGGTTAGCGCATTAAATCAAAGGGAATTACATATAGTTCCTTTTGATTTTATTCGTAATCGCTGATTCCCTGTTTTGCGATTTTTCAGGGGCTGATTCCAGGGGATGAAATTAGTATTTTGGGGGCATATTTACGTGTGAGAGCAGCCTATTACATGGAGAATCCAGATCCGTTAAAAACTGAAATTTGGAAATTTGGCGCTTAGTTCCCTTTCGTATAAATACGTCCTATTGAGAGAGTATGACCACTGGTGTTACCACCTCTGATTGGCTCAGCCATCTTAGGCTGAATGGAGCCCTTAGGACCCAAAAATGGCGGACGCCAGACATCAATGTAATGCAAAATGACTGAAAATGTAGTTTTCTTTGCTTATCGTAACGAGAAATTTACCCAAATGCACTATTGCGACTTCTTTACATATTTTTAAGGCTAATCGTGTGCAATTTTTGAGAAAAATTATCTTAGATGTTGTAAGGTTGGCAGCAAGTGCGGTTGGTGATAACCGTCAAAAGTTGGCAATGACCCCCCTCCCATCCACAAAAACCAAAACAAAGCACCACCATTTTTGGGTCCTAACTCCTAATCTCCATGGGGCCCAGTGGCCATACTCTCTCAATATAGGTACTCTACAATTACGAGGAGACAATTCCTTACAACAAAACTTACATTTCAACGTCATTCTTTAGGCCGTATGCATCGGTGTGTTCACGCAATTCTTTGACAAGCTCATAGGTCTCCGGCAAGTTTCTGCGTGCGTAGCGTCGTCCTGTTTCATCCCTCAACTCATCGTCCTCAAAAATAAAAGGGGCTGCGTCCACACGGAAGCCTCTAACACCCTTGTCCATCCAAAATGTGAGAATGTCCTGCGACAACAAACTCCACAAGTTACTTACAAAATATTTCCTCAGAGGCACACCGAAACTCTAAAATATTCTCAAAGGGCAATTTACATTCTTATTAAAATACTAAACTTAAACCGACTGGTACGTAACTATATGCTACATATAACACTCATACTATCTATGGTATCCTTTTATATATAATTCAGTGGCGTGGCGTGCTTTGCGATATATCGATTGATCTGCCATTTAAACCTATGGAAAAGTATCGATGAACAGGGTGTTCGCAGTGAACACCTTGATAATCGATTATTTACCACAGCTTCCATTGAGGAAATATCGATAGATCGAAAAGCACGCCACGCCACTGATATTATTATTATTATGATGTGATGACGTGTACATATTTACACGAGATTTATTAGTAATGTTGCCCCTTTCCTCGAGCTTCATCACCATAGAGTGCATAGAGTCGTAGTGGGAATGGGGGAGCTGGCGCCTCTTGCATTTTCCTGTTACCGGATTCCATGACTCCTGTGCGGTGCCGGGTCACCATATCGATGCATTATCGATTGTTTTTGATAAACAGGTATCCGATGGCTCGATGTAAACAATGAGGATAAGAATTATTACGTGTTCTACATCGCCATTTTGCATCGAAAATGTATCGAGAGGGTGATCGAATCACGGCGCACACCTCGCTTGGAACTCGTCGACCAGAACAAGGCCCCAGCTCACTTCATTTTAATACGACTCCCTGCGCTCTATGTGTATCATCTCTGAAGGGTCTGCACTTATTGAGGCTGCGCACTATGATACTGGGTTAATAGTGACGTAAACTCAGGGGAATTAAACTAATTGTTTACTTGAACGTACTCTATGAGGTCAGCATATCTAGATTGAAATGCGTGTCCGGCAGCTCACTTTCGTCACAAAAGTGAATTAATCGCACGGATTACGGCTTATTGGTTAGGATATTAAATAATGTAACTCGTGTACAATTAGTACCCCACTACCCTAAAATGTTAATATTTGAAAAATCCCAATAATGCGAGATCTTGGGAGACGCGGATCGTAGCGAGAAAAACGTTGAGGAAAAAGTGGAAAATTAATACTTGGGGGAAGGGGATTTTACCCCTAGTTTAAAAGAGCTGTTCGGTACGCGATGGATGTCAAATAGAACTTGTTGTGCACGATTCGTGGATCATAACTCTAGAGGAAAAATTAGTGCAAAATAATATTGAAATTGTGCTAAATTGGTAAAAAGTCACGATGATATATCAACTATCAAGACGGCTTTGAAAGTATATACGGGTGCAGTTTCAGATCTTTAGAGTGTTTTTGAGGTGCAAGTGATTTCACCTTCATTTCTTGGACGACCAATGGGTTCCGGAAGTTGAGGTCGGGCTGCTCACGTCTAAAAGCATGGTAGTAGAACTGGTACCTCTCGTCATTCCACTCCCACGCGCTCTCAGGAGAATGATCAAATACGGATTGCTGTAAAATATCGCAAATAATTGCTCGTTTAAAGTTACTAATGTAACATGAAGACACAAGCAGTAGTTCAAAGTGCAAATTTAAAGTTAACGAGTAAAGAAGTTAAAGACATGTTTATGTGAAGTAATAACTCCAGCAGTAAGAGTTTTTCAGGGCGAAATTTATAAGCCTGCGCCATCCTGAGCACGTGGTATTAAACAAACTAATATCAAGAGATTTTAGATAGATCTGTACTCTGGCTAGAGTCAATTTTTTCCAGCATCCGTATCTCTATCTTTTGGGGTTCTTGGGCCCTGTATAGACTCCGGTATAGAATGTAGCTTTACAATTTTTAACATTGTACGTTCAAGATGGCGAGCCTCTTTAAATGATGCATTATGTACCTTTATTCAATTTTAATACTTATTTACTGGAACCTCTTTCTAAATTCTGTAAAATTGAACTTAAATAAATCGTAATCGATAGGAGTTTGATGAATTGTTTGGTTCAAAACATTAGAACATAAGCTAAAACAAAAATTATAAGATGTAGATAGGGAAAATGAGAAAATTCCTGACAATTTTACTTTGCATTGCTATTAAATACTCATAAGAGGAAAAAAAACTATCTCTAGAAACCCGTTCCTTCAGATCACTCAATCGACTTTTGAGGCTATGTTTACACGCTGAACCAATCGACATCGATACAATCCCACCTGTTTGATGTATCGAATGCGATCCATTCAAATTCAAAGCGCAGCTTCTGTTGTTGTTTTTTAATGTGTTCATTGAAACCCTTGTTGACAATCTCAATTTCCCAAAGGTTTACATTTTTATTGTTAACGTTCTTGTTCAAGACTAAAAGAAGCAATTTTTTTGGGAGGGAGAAGGCAGGGTACGCAACTTGGGAACCCATCTTTGGACTGTTGTGAGTAGGTAATCGAGAAAATATTAAAGTTAATTAAACATTTTTTAAAATTTTACCCAGCTGTTTGGAGGCCTTTGTCTTCCATTTCTCCGTCCTTTTGAATTACGCCAAATATAATAATCATCGTACGGCTCGATTCCTTGTACACTTTTTTTGAACCATTCGTGTTGATCACTAGTATGATTTGGAACAAAGTCCAATATCATCTCGATGCCTGGAAACCAATCCATCAATGATAAATATTCTTACAAATGGTTTTTCCATAAATTTAATCCATAATAGTTACGTGTATTTTCAGTTTTAAAGGCACCTGCAGACTTTAAATACCTCCCAAGGGTCAAAATCGTTGGAATCAATATTCGAGCGATGAAAGTAAGTATAATTTAGAACCTTTTGCCTCGCGATTTGGAAGGAAAACCATTTCAAGGATAATACTAAACGAGACGATTCATAGTCCAGTAAACGAAGGGAAAAAAGAGGGGGTTTGATGAACAAATTAGTAACAAGCTAATTTTTCCCCCCCATTGATAGTACCCATTGAGAGGAACATTTTCCCAAAAGTCCCCATCCCTACCCCCCTAGGGATTTTTGCTAGCCCCCCTCAAAGTTGAAAAATCCCCCTCTGATTCAAAGCGCTATAACTCAGACCCTAATGTAGCTAGACACCTCTAATTTTTTTTAAAATGTCCGTCTTGATATGTTCTTTAAGAAATTTCTAATAATCATGCAAATTTTTCCACGGAAAGCTGAAAATTTTGAAAAAATTTGCAAATTTTTAGAAATCGAATTGCCTCTTTTTCACAAAGAGCGTGATAACTTTATTCTAACTGCAACTATGAACTTTTTGTTTATTAGAAACTTTGTAGGGAACACAATTTCCTTTCAATTGGTCCTCTTGAAGTAAGGATTCAGACAATGAGTGGGGTGGGAGAGGAGCCGAAACATGACGCAGTGCGATGCCGCGCGGCGCCGTGCCGCACCCAGCGCTGAGCGGTACGCCTGGCGACCAGAGGGGCTGGCGATCGTCTTGATAGTCACATACTAAGTTGACTTCAATCGACATCGTTAATCCGGGCAAGTAACCTATCCTCCAACAATTGGCAACACAGCACAGCCCGATCGAGGCAACGACACCATAGTTACAGGTAACTTGCTTATTTGGGTTTTTAGTTGCGAGTTCAAAAGCTTTTCAAAGCAACGGAGCGACGGATTTCAGAAATTTTGGTGTCTAAAGATGCGTCTCGGTCCCGTCTAACGAACTGTTGAGTTTCAAGGAGGTTGATGATTTATTAAAAGAAATAATTACGCATATGTGCCTAAAATAGCGAAAAGTATCCACTTTGACCATTTTCACTTTCAGACAAAGCTATGGAGAATACGAGACATC